TGTGTGTGTGTGTGTATGTGTCTGTGCGTGTGTGTGTGTGTGTGAAAGAGAGAGACGTAGTGAGTGTGTGTGTGTGTGTGTGTGTGTCTGTGTGTGTGTGTTTGTGTCTGTGAGTGTGCCTGTGTCTGTTTGTATGTATATGTAAGAGTGTGTGTGTGGTGTGTGTGTGTATGAGAAAGAGTGAATGAGAGAAGCGTATTGTGTGTTCATGTTTGCATGTGTTTTTGTACAAGCAAGGAAGTTATACTAAACCTTTGCAACACATTGGTGAGGTTCTAGTTGTCGGATTGTGGGCATAGACCATGGTAAGGATGTCAAGGCCTGGGAGAGGGTGCAGGGGAGATTCAGCCAAATGAAATGATATCAGGGTCCCAGGACTGTAGTTACATGGAGCGACAGGAGAAATTTGGTTTGTTCACTTTGGAGCAGAGAAGGCTGAGAGGAGACCGAGATCGGGGTGTAGAAGATTACCAGGGGCATAGACGTGGTGGAAAACACTTGTTGTCCTTAGTTAGAGGCTCATTGACATGGTGGCATAATTTTAAGGTGAAAGGCTGGAGGTTTCAAGGGGACTTGAGGAAAAGCGTTTTTACCCAGAGGGTGGAGGGGTTCTGGAATGCGGTGCTTGGGAAGGTAACTGAGGCAGGAAATCTCAGAACCTTTAAAATGTACTGGGATGAGCATTTGGAATGTCATAACATTCAAGGCTAGGGGCCATGTGCTAGAAAGTGGGACTAGCGCAGATTCAGAGTTAATTTTTCAGTGCAGACTTAATGGGCTGAAGGGTCTCTGCTGTACTGTATGACTCATTGATTCTAAGATGAAGGGAGGGAATTGATCGATCTGTTCAAAACCAGGAGTACTTCAGAAGAATAAAGTGTCTCTAAGGATTTCTTTATCATTCATGGGAATGTGGGCATCACTGGCCAGGCTAACACTGTTGTACATCCTTACTTGCCCTTGAACTAAGTAGCTCGCTCACCCATTTCAGAGGGCAGTTAAGAGTCAACCACATTGCTGTGGGCCTGGAGTCACATGTAGGCCAGACCAGGTAAGGATGGCAGATTTCCTTCCCTAAAGGACATTAGTGAAGCAGATTGGTTTTTATGAAAGTGACTTTCAGAGCAGAGTATTAAAAGCATGAAAAGATTTACCTTCTGCCAGTCTCCATTGGATTCTGTATCCAGAGCTTCCTGGCACACTACTCCAAGTGATCTGAATCCGTTTGGTCGTTGAACCGATGATGCGGAGACCCTGAACTGTTCCCAGAGGACGTTCAACAGCAGCTGTAGTTGGGGTGAAGAAAACTACTGGTCAACATTGATATATGTACACCATGGAGAAGCAGTTAAGTGGGATGGGTATGTTCACACATGGCCTCACTGAAAGACTGCAGACTTTGAAGGTGTTGGACTAGCTGCATTGCTGTGGAAAACAGGGCCCATGTTTTAAATCAGGAAATAAGGAGAGTTACCTCGTGCCACTTGCACGGAGAGCACCTGGAGTTAAATCCGAGGAATGAGATCATGGGATCATTATATGTGTGTGTGTGACAGGCTATTCAGCACATGTTAGAACACAAGAACATAGGAACTAGGAACAGGAGTAGGCCATTCAGCCTCTTGAGCCTGCTCTGCTATTTAATACGATCATGGCTGATCTCAGCTCTGCATCAACCCCACTTTCCCACCACTCACCATAACCCTTCAATCCATTTCTAATTAAAAACCTGTCTATCTCCTCCTTAAATTTACTTCATGTCGACCATACTCTGCGGAAATGAATTCCACAGATTCACGACCTTTTGAAAGAAGTAAATTTTCCGCATCTCTGCTTTAAATCTGTAACACTTTATACAAGACTGTGACCTCTCACTCTAGATTAGCCCACATGAGGAAATGTCCTTTCCAAGTCTAGTTTTTCAATCCCCTTTAGCATCCTCTATACATTAATTAGATCTCCTCTCTTTCTTCTAAATTCCAGAAAGAATGTGCCTAAACTGCTCAATCTCTCACATAAGACAAACACCTCATTTCTGGAATCAATCTAGTGAGCCTCCTCTGAACTGCCTCCAATGCAACCAAATCCCTCCTCAAGTAAAGGGAATGAAAATTGGACACAGTTGGACGGGTGCGGTCTCACCAATGTCTTGTTCACAGACACGGCAACACTTTCCTACTTTTATACTCTATTCCTTTAACAATAAATGCTAAAACTGCATTTCCTTCCGTATTACCAACTGTCCCTGCATACTCATTTTCTGTGACTCATGCAGTAGGACACCCAGATCTCTCTGCACTGTAGCACTCTGACATTTCTCTCCATTTAGATAATAAGTTGCCTTTCTGTTCCTCCGACCAAAATGGACAACCTCACACTTATCCACGTTAACCTTCGTCTGCCAAGTTTTGGCTCATTCACCTAACCAATCCATATTCATTTGTAAATTTCTTGCTTCTTTATTACAATTTACTTTCCCATCCCTTTTGGTGTCATCCTCAAATTTGCCTATTGCAGTTTCTATCCCTGCTTCCATACATTGTAAATAATTGAAGTCTGAAGACCAAACCCTGTGGCATCCCATGTAGTTCATTAGCATAAATAAATTGCTTCTGAACAGATTTCTGGAATTTGACTTTCATTGTACCTCATCCACTCTGTTTAAAGTAGAGATGTTTGATATGAATCCTAAATTTGTCTTCTTACGACTTAACTAAAATTCAACGTAACCTAATCACCTGCCTAATCACCTGTGTCCAGTACTGGGTGCCAGATTATGGGAAAAATGTGATTACATTGGACAGAACACGGAAGTAATTTACAAGAATGGTCCCAGGTATATGAGAAACTTCCGTGTTGAGGATAGATTGAAGAAGTTAGATCAGTTCTCTTTCGAGAGAAGAAGGCTGAGAGGAGATCTCATAGAGGTTTTCAAAATCATGAGTGGGCTGGATAGAGTAGACAGGGAGAAGCTGTTCCTGCTCATAAAAGGATCAAAAATGAGAGGGCATAGATTTAAAGTAATTTGGAAAAGAAGCAAGTGTGATGTGAGGAAGAACTTTTTTTTCACTCAGTGAATAGTTAAGGTATATTTTACACTCCTTAGAAATGTGGTGGCAGCAGGCTCAATTGAGACATTCAAGGGATGATTATTTGGAGAAAAATACTGTGCAAGGGTATGGGGAGAAGGCAGGAGATCAGCACGAGGTAATGATATTTGTTTGAAGTGCTGGTGCAAGCACAATGGGCAGAATGGCTCCCATCTACGCTGTTACAATTCCGTAATTCTGAGATTTTGTAATTTGCCTCAAAGAACATTTCCTAGATATCCACCATCCAGGCTCAGTAAACCATGCTCCACCCTCTACAATGTTTATACCATTCCCAGTCCTCCTCAGTTCTCCACATCAAATAAATAAGCTGTGTTGTTGCAGCACGGGCATCATCAGAGAACGGCCGAGAAACAAACTGTTGCACTTCCTGACAGAAAATAACTATTTACATCAAGGAATATAGATGAAAGAGCAGGGCAGGGACACGGATCATTGACTGAATGACGATCCCACAAAACCAGCCAGTGACAGAGAACAGTCAGGCTGAGCAATACAGACTGTCCCTGTGATGGACTTACGGGTGGTTGCTGTTATTGTGACAGGCTGTCCTTCTCGATTTCTGATCAACGCAACAACTTTCACGAGGTAATTAACTCCGCCTTGCAAATCCGCAATATCAAATGTCGTTACATCTCCGGGTACAACTCTAGTGATCTCAGGTCCTCCTGCAGATTGAAAGAAAACAACAAATGACCCATTTCTGAAGAAGGGTCCCGACCCGAAACGTCAGCTTTCCTGCTCCTCTGGCCTGCTGTGTTCCTCCAGCTCCACACTGTGTTATCTCAGACTCCAGCATCGGCAGTTCTTACTATCACCAAATTGGGTCGACTACTTCCCAAGTTTTTTTTTTAATTCATTTGTAGAATGTGGGTGTCGCTGGCTAGACCAGCATTCATTGCCCATTAAAGAGTCATAAACATTGTTGTGGGCCTGGGGTAAAGTGTTGGCCGGACCAGGTAAGGACTGCTGTTTCCTTCCCCAAAGGACATTAGTGAACCAGATGGGCTTGTCCCGACGATCAACAACGGTTTCATGACCATCGTTGAAGTCTTAACTCTGGATTTTTCTCTCAAATTTAATTCAAATACAACCATCTGCCATGGCAGGATTCAAAACCAAGGCCCCCAAAATACTACCTGGGGCTCAGGATTGATAGTCTGGCAACAATATGACTAGGGCCCCTACCTTCCCATAAACACTGAAACAGAAAGGTACAGTTTATTCTGCCAAATCCCAGGGACCCCTTAGATCTTCAGTCCAACCCTCTCCCAACTGAGCTTTTTTACCATAGAATCCCTACAGTGCAGAAAAAGGCCATTCAGCCCATCGGGTCTGCACCAGCCCTCTGAAGAGCATCCCACTCAGACCCAGCAACTCTACATTTCCCATGGCTAAACCACCTAGCCTACATATCCCCGGACACTATGGGCCGATTTCCCAAAGCCAATCCACCTAACCCACACAGGTTTGGACTGGGGGAGGAAACCAGAGGAAACCCACGCAGACACAGGGAGAATGTGCAAACTCCACACAGACTGTTGCCTGAGGCCAGATTTGAACCTTGGTCCCTGGTACTGTGCAGTAGCAGTACTAACCAGCGAGCAACCATGCCACCAAACAAAGGCTGCCACGATAAGGAAGCACTTATTTTGCCAAAACCCAGGATTGGACCAGGGACCCTTAGATCTTCAGTCTAACATTCTCCCAAGTGAGCTATTTCAGCTGACAAAATAACTTTTGGGTTACATCAGTCATTTGGGACTCGAGTGCTTTTTAACATTCATTTACAGGAAAATCACTGGCATTTCAGCAATAAATGTCCATCCCCAACTGCCTTTGAGAAGTTGATGAGCCACTTTCTTGAGTTGCACACGGGGCTACTTTACAGGGTGATTAAGAGTCAACCACATTGCTCTGGGTCTGGAGTCACATGGAGGCGAGATCGGATAAAGATGGCAGATTTCCTTCCCTAAAGGACCCAGGTGGGTTTTTAATGGGATCTATGAGTTTCATGATCATGATCATTGATAGAAAGTTCTTCCCTGCTTTAACAAAAGGGACCTACCATCACTGCGCTTCCAACTGATGCGGTAAGACGTGGCTTCGGGAACCCCGACCCAAGACACTCGCAGGACATCACTACGGGCTTCGAGCACTCGAACATCACTGACGCCGGCTACCTGACCCTCTCTCGAGGCTGTGACAACAGAAGAGGTCACCCAAAAGCACGCACATCAAGCTGCTATCGAAGACAGTACAGCATTCTGATGTTCAAAATGGTCCTAAGACATGCAATCAAACTCGAAACGGCTTTCAGACGTATTAACATAAAAAGTAGGAGCTTGAATAGGCCATTAGGCCCATTGAATTTCTTCTGTAATTCAGTAAGTTTGACCTTCTGCCCAACGCAACCTTCCCACACCATCCCCAAATCCCTTAACTATCAGCCTCTGCCTTAACTACATTCAACGATTGAGCATCACATCCTTCTTGGGCAGAGAATTCCTCAGATTGACAAGACTTAAAGTGAAGAAATCTTTCCTCAACTCAATCCTAAAAGGCCAAAATCTTCTTCAAAGCTTGTCATTCCATGTTGTAGACTTCCCGGCCATTTTAGGTAGATTACCTCTTAGAGTCACAGAATCAAAGAGTTATGCAGCACGGAAACAGAACCTTTAGTTCAACTCATCCATGCCCACCAGGATTCCTAAAATGAACTGGTCCCATTTGCCTGCATTTGGTCTGTATCCCTCTAAACCTTTCCTATCCATGTACTCATCCAAATGTCTTTTAAACGTTGTAATTGTACCCACCTCTACCACTTCCTCTGGCAGCTTGTTCCATATACGCACCACCCTTTATGTGAAGAAGTTCCCCCTTAGGTCTCTTTCTAAATTTTTCCCCTCTCTTCCTCTAGTTTTGGACTACCCTAGCCTGGGAAAAAGACCTTGGCTATTCACCCTATCAATGTCCCTCATGGTTTTATAAACCTCTCTAAGGTAACCCCTCAGTATCTAAACTCCAAGGAAGATAAATCTAGTCCCTCAGTTTCTCCTCATTTGTTAACCCAGAGATTATTCCAGGGAGGTCTGTTATCATCAAATTAGGGGAAAGCTTTCCAAGCATTTTCCCATTGTGGCGTGATTTCGAGACTTGAAAATTGTAGTGATGCCTCAGTGAGAGCTGTGACAGTGGGAGGACAGCTGCACAGCTGTTATAACTTGGTCAAAGCAGCACAGAAACCTGAGGGCTGACTGCCTCAAAACTGCAGCTTAACACCCACATTTTGTGCAGCATTCCTCGAGATCCAAACGGCATACCGTACTTCAAGTGTGATCTCATCAAAATTTTGCTTTTATTCCTTTGTGGGATATGGGCATCACTGGCCAAGACAACATTTATTGTCCATCCCTAACGTTCACTTGGAGGGGCAATAATATTGCTGTAGGTCTGGAGTCACATTTAGGTTAGCCCAGGTACAGATGATAGATTGGGAACAAAAGCAGAAGTTGCTGGAAAAGCTCAGCAGGTCTGGCAGCATCTGTGAAGAAAAAATCAGAGTTAGCGTTTCGGGTCCGGTG